AGCCCCGGGGTGGGAAGAGACCGGCCCCTGTCCCTCAGCAGTGCTGGCTCACTCACTCTTTAAGGGCGTCGGCAGCGACGGCTGCGCCCGGGAAATCCGGAGGAACCTTCTCCTCGGGGCCCGCCTCTCCTCAACGTGCCCCCTCGGCCCTGGGAGCCCCTCTTTTCACCCTAGCAGTCCTCCTCTTCTCACGAAACTTTCACTCCCCTCACAGAACCCCCACTCCTTCACGGAAACCACATGTCAGCAAACCCCCAAGTCGCCAGAGCCCCCCAACTCCTAGGGAACCCGCAGAACCCACCTCCTCATAGAACCCCCAGCTCCTCCCGAACCCCTTGCCCATCTCCTCCGCAAGTCTTCTCTCACAAAGCCTGCATCTCCTCACGGACCCCTCAACTTCCCGAGGGGGCCACCAACTCCCTCAGAAAACACCAATCTCCTCACGGAACGCCCATTTCCCCACGGAACCCGCCCAATTCCTCACTTCCCAAGGAGCCCTCATTCCTCTCCTCACTGACGTCCCCACACGAGCCCGGGCCCAGCCTCACCTCGCGGCTCCTCCACGGAGCGTCGGTGCAGCTCGCGGTAGCGCTGCAGTGAGGAAACGTGCGCGGAACGGCTGAACTCGGGCGGCGGGGACCAACTCCGCGCCCGGCTCCGCTCCCCAGCCTCCTCCCTGCCCCCGCTCCCGCTCCCGCTCCCGCCGCAGCTGCGGCCCCGCTCCTCGGGAAGCCCCATGGCGTCAAGTTCAGAGCACAGTAACCGCCCTTGTGGTTGCCGCAGGAGTTCGGGGGCGAAAAACAGGCCGCGCGGGGTGGGGCCTTAAGGGGGAGGGGTCTGGCGGTGGGCGGGGCATGAGCGGACCGGGCGTGGCTGTTCGAAGGGGCGGAGCCTCCTGGGAGCGGGGACTAGAGCGAGCAAATGCAAGAACAGGGCAAAGGGCGAGCCCGCTTCAGAACCAGGGGCGGCGCGGATTCGCGGAAAGGGAGGGACCGCAGACTAAAAGTAGAAGGGACGGGGCCGGGCCTGACAGGCCCGGGGGTCGGAGTGACAGAGGAAGGGCGGGGCAGGGCCTGAGCGGGGAGGCGGTGGGCCCCCGGGGGGACCAGGGCAGGGTGGGGTTTGGGAAGACAGACGAAAGGTTGCGCTGGGGAGGGTTGGGACGCGAAAGGGCTTGGCTGCCCCGAGGAGCTGGGTCCAGTCCAGCCGCAGCCACCCCGCTGTCGGCGGGCACGAGCCTGCCACACCACCTGGTTGAAAAGCCAGGTGTAGCGGGGTTCTTTCTAGGTGCCTTCTGGGAACAGTCTCCCTCAAAGAACCGTCCCTCTGCTCCGAGTAAACTCCGCCCTCTGTCCTCAGGAAATCGTTCCTCGCGGACGGTTTCGCGCGGCCAGGGGCAGGGCCCCTCGGTCAGGTGCGCGCCGCCTCACACTCCCCCGCCCCTGAGGCTGTGGCTCCTCTCCCTCCGGCACAAATTTCCACCCGGCTCCCGAGGACGAGATTCGCGGAGGGGCGGGAGGGGCGGGCAGGCCTTTGCTAGCAGGGGTGGCTGCTCGCTGCACACGGGGTATCTCAGGAAAGGGGGAGTCTGTGCCCGGTCACAGGGCAAACGACGGCCAAGTTCAGGCCAAACCGGGGTCTCCCGACTGCGAGTCTCTTTTCCGCTTTATCAGGCTGGAGCGAAGGCTTGTGAAACCACACCGAAGTCTGTGCAACTCGGAGGAATGACCCGCAGCCTCCCTTCCTCCCAGTCCCCTTCTTCACGCGGCGGGCACGCCCACCTGCCGCCCTGGGGCCTGCGGCCTCTGGCTTCCCCCGCTCCAGTCCACTCCAGAAAGAGGGCCCGGGCAGGACCCTTTATCTCCCACCTGCCCGCGCCACCCACCGGTTCACAGAGTGGCTGCCAGGGCCAGAAGGAGGAGCCTTCAATATTTAACTCCGAGAGTGGCTCTGAGGCCCAGAGCGGACAACCGCCATCTCCTAACGCCCCCACACACAGGGTTCGCGACCACTCAGGCCCAGCCTTCCTTCCCACGTGTACCCTTGTTCTTTGCCCAGCTAACCACAAGCCCAGCACACCTTAAACTGAAAATAATAATAATAATAATAATTCCATGTTCAAACCTGTGATCCAGAGCCTACCCGGTCCTGAGAGGAGGGTTTCGGGTCTCATGTCTCATGAAGTGAACATGGACCCCACAGAGGAGATGGATACTTCGCGGAGGAGACATTAACGACACTGAATGGTCGCACACCCGAGGTACATGGACCCCGCTAAGGGAGCACAGATCTTGCTGGGGGGTTTCAGGTCTCACTGAAGGGCTGTGGACCATGTGAATAGGACATTAATGGTATTGAAGGTCACGTACCCTGCTGGGGGGACATGGGCTTCCCACTAGGAGATACAGAAGATATACAGGCTTTACTAAGAGACATCGACCCCACTGAAGGGATTAAACCCCACTGAGGCAACGGACATCAATGAGGGGACACAGACCGCCTTTGGTTGAGACACGCCCTACGAGGGGGGGGAGGGGGTAATGTTTCACTCTGGAACTCACTGAGGAGATACTAGCCTCTGTGGGAGGGAGGCACAAGCTATGGGCACACGGTCCCAGGTAGAGACAGTCAACTTCCCATCCCAGAGGCAGCCCTCTTCCTCTCCCTTCTCCCCTCCCCCTCCCCCCTCTCCCTTCTCTCCTCTCCCCTCTCCCCAACCTTCTCCTAAGTCCTGGAGCCGTTCCTAACACATTGCTGCCCCCTCCTGTCTACAGGTAGCAATGCATGTCATGGACCCACAACAGACTCCACCC